CCCCAATATTCTCCAGTTGTGTGCATTTAATAAGAAGACTACATCAGCAGTTTCCAGCTGTGAGTCTGATCATGTTAGCCTTGTTATGAATTTCAGAAATATTATTGAATACATTTCAGAAATACAAGGCATAGCATTATAACACATACTGTGGCTCTATTTGTGAGATTTGAGGTTTTTACAGCTGTGAAAATTTATATTTTGGTCTTTTCATTTATGACAGTTTGTAGTATGATAGGTGATAGCCACTTTCATGACCATGCAGTGCTTTAACTCAGATAACCACAGATCGAGCTTACTGTAATTATTGTTAGCAAGAGGCTGCTAGTTGTTAGTTAATTTATTTCATAGCTTCACAAACTTTTTTCTAAGATACATTTTAATATTATTATTCCACACACACACACAGTGGATTCCGGTTAATTAGGACACATCAGGACTAGAAAATGTTGGCCAAATTAAGTGGCTACCCCAATTATGCAAAGTTACGTGTAAAGAGTTAAAAATAAACAATGGCCCAGTTAAGCGGAATCTTTCAAAAGAAAGTGGTTGCTCTTGAAGATTTCAAAGCCATAAATGTTTCATGGTCTCTTTATTTGATTCTCTTCTGGTCACCTCATCTCTCCTAGGCCCAGAATTCTCCTCAGCAATATTTTAAAAATGAATCAAATATTGAGCATCTCCAGGCATTTTATCTTGATTATTTTTCCTTCATTTACACACTTATATGAGTGGTGTGTAGTTGAGTTTGATACCATTGACTGCACTTCCAATATGAATGCCTCACAATCTTAGATTTCATGGATCAAGTGGACCAGGATCCTACAAAAAGGAACAGTCTGATCATCCTGTTTTCCGAGGCCCAGAAGGTTCAGGCTTTGATGTCAGTGAACTGAAGAAGATTACAGTGGATATCCGGCGAAATCTTCCAGTTGACATGGTTCCTATTGAACGCAATATTGTCAACCCTGAAGATGTTGTATTGGTACGCCGGCCAGGTATGTCACTAAACTTGTCATTTTGTGTAGCTTGCTGTTGAGGAAGACGATATTAAGTTCTAATGGAATTAATTTGCTCATGAAAGATGGGCACTTCACTTAGATATTTGATACTGTACCATTTTACTCCTATTGCCAAGAGAATCAGTATTAATGGTATGGATCTTTAGCTGATTCATTTTATAGTCTTGCTTGAAATTTGTGAACTTGTTTGTAGTTGTTTGATGATGGCTTTTTGCACTTTGAATTTTGATATGGTATCATTGAAGTGTATGACACAATATGGAAGTACAAAGACTGGAATACTAATTTTTTACTATTATTTTAATTCATAATGTGTTATCAGAGGAAAAGAGACACATAACAAGGGTTTGGAAACTAAATTCTCAAAAAATTTATTCTAAGAGGGATGATGTGAGTGGGCAGACATGGGTTTTGATCGGTTATATATAGTAATCACCAGAAGTCTTACAAGCTGTGTTCCCAATTCTGGTCTCTACTGGATTCAGCATGGTCAGGTAAGATTTGGAGCAGCTTGGTGCCACGGTAGCTATCTCAGAAACACTGACTATTGTGTATGGACTGTTCTGATTATTTCTCTTCCCTCATTATAAATATCTTTTGTATATTCCTTGGCACACTTCACTCTCCATTATTACTGCTGCTCTTGAAATTAATCTTGGTACCATGTGCAAATAGAAGGATGGGGGTGATGGAAGAGATTTTGCACTGAGGATGTTCCCCTCTTTGTCACTTGCCCCATGCTGACAGCTCACAAGACATCTGGTGACTACTGTATGTCTCATTGTGTTGTTGAGATAATGGAATCTAGGAGGCTTCAGTGGGCTGGGTATGTAGATGGAATGGAGTAGATAGAATTTTGAATTTTGAAACCACTTAAAAATGATAACTTCAGAATTTATTGAGGAGGTGGAAGAAAGGTATTGAGATTAAAGCAGGGGAAATAGTTGTAAATGCAGGACTGCATCCAACGACAGACTTTGCTATTAGTGGTGATGAATTTTCAGGTTCCACTGGCAGAGAGGTTATCAATCAAGTGATTTTAGCTTTCTTTCAAACTGTAAATACTACTTTTCTCATGCATTCTGTTTTGACATTTTTGAAAGTTTATGTTATTAATTTTTTTTAAATTACTGGTTTAAATATATGTCAAAGTCTTGGAAAGGAACATCATTATTTAGTAATTCATTACTTTTCAGTATACATAGAAACAAAGCATTATAGATAAATGCTTGGTCTTGAATGCTGGTTTGTTTATATTGCAAGATCAGTATAGATATGAAGAATGGGGAACAAGTCAAAATATTATTCATCTAGTTAAAGGAAGGTTAAACCATATTTTACAGAATTTGGTTGCTTTTTTCTCTTCTTCTGGTAGTTAAAGAGACAAAAATGTCCCAGTTTATACATATGCAAATCCAGCCATTATGTGTATAGTATTGCATTGATGTTTTGACACCTGTTTCATATACTGTACATGCTTTATTGAAATCAACAAACCTTTGCATTTTTCATTTGACTGGATTGCAACAGTAGTTTCTTTAAGAAGTAAGAGGCACTGAAATATATGAATTAAAAAGTTTACTTTTGTGTATTGTAACAAAATATCAATACTAATAGAGAACTTTTGCAATCCACATCACTTGAGCAGTGCAATTTCAGCAATTCTGTTTCAGAAAGTGATGTACTAAAACATATGTTTTTCTCCAACCCAGCCACTGAAGATGAAACACCATACTACAAAGGTGAAAAAGATGTCTGTGATATTAAAATTTCAAATTGTCACAGTATATATGCTAAGAATCAGCTGATAATGAAAATGATTTTCAGCATTGCCTGACTAATTATGGCTGAAAATTAAAGGAGACATTGCACATATTTAAACTGACATCAGTAAGAAATCAATGTGTTGAAATTGCTGAGTGAATATTAAATAATTCTTACAAGGAATTTCTTGAAAGTTTACATATCCATGTATATTTATTAAATAAGGTATATTTAAAATATGCAGATGTTAGCCTTTGAGACATACTGCTGATTGCAGTCTTGGACAAGTTCAAATTGATTCTGCCTTTAAAGCATAATAATAGCCTAAGAAGAATTACATTGCATAAACTATCATAATGAAGAAAATTATAGTGAGCATGATGCAAATTTACAAGCTGAATTTGAGAGCAGACTAAAGTTGTTCTTTTTTAATGCAAAACATTTTGGAGTGTTTTGTGTGGTCATCATATGTTATTTTAAGATAATAAATGGGACTATGTCAAGAAGCAGTTCACATTAAATATTATGGCATGTGATTCAATGTCCATGAGATCTCATCTTTATAACGAAAGATGCAAGGTGGCCAACAGTATTTAAAACAAGAAGCAAGACATGAGAACATCAGTAATAACATCTTGGTTGTTATCAGTTTAGAGAGGGTTTTTGTTTACTTTATTATGAGTGTTTAATTATATTAAAGAAACTCATTGAGTGTTTATGCACAGAAATTGGATTGAAACTCATATGTGCAGACATGAAATAAGTAGTTTCTATGCAGCTGAATTTCCAAGAGGAAGTTTGCTTATACCATATGTGGTGAATTTTATAGTCAAACTGCAGGATTAGTGTGTTTTGGTCGGAATTGGTACATAATGCACTTATATGGAAACTTCTTTGAAGTCAAGTCTAATTATGGCTTTATTTTCTAACACGACATTCATACAACTGTCAGAAACATGATAAATGAAGCCAGTTTATTTTTTCCATATTAAAGTGTTATTGATGATATAAAGATACTTAATTGTGGACTGGAGGTACGACTTACGTCATCGTCATTCATTGATAGAATGAGTTTGTAAAAAATCTATTCTGCAATATCTTGTGTCTTATGAGTGAGTATATGGCAAGGAGAATTCATATTTTGAAATTTTAATTGGAAATATTAGTGGATACGAAAGGCTTACATATGACTCTGGGGAAGTAAGTGTGTTTTTGGAAAGCACTGGAATACGGGCTGTGGCACAGGACTGTATACGTCTGTTGTGTAGTTAGCCCAAAGATAATACAGTGTATTGACTGTATACAAGTAAATGAACTGCAAGAATGTTTCAACATAGAAATCACTCTAAGTGATTCTCTGATCACTTACTTTATATGCTCTTTACCATTTCATCCTTTTATTTTTGTGAAAAGGATTACTGTGATAGGAATGGGATTAATGGGTGATAAATTGTGCATAATTCCAGACGAGGGGAGAACGTTGAATATGCCCAATAACCCCTCTTCCCCCCCCCCCATTAGTTTTTTGTTTTTGCATGTAAAGGTAAGGTAAGTAAACATATATTTAGCATTTTAATTTTCCTTCAGTACTCCCAGTTGGAAAATGGTTAATGAAACCATTGTACATAGGTTATATGTGTATAGTAAGTGGGCATGTTCCATTGTGACAGTTACTCCCATGAAGGAAGAAGCTTCTGTTTAAGGCAATCATTTTTTTCTTAGGTTGATTGAATTTGCTAATGATGGCAGATCCATGGATGAGCCCCAATCTAAGATTTGTCTTGGATCACAGGAGAGTGGCCCAACATGATACCTACAATTTAATGTGGTATGTCTTTGTACAACAGGACTGTCAGCAAAGTAACGAATGACGCATCCTAAAAGTGAATCCAAAGTATTCTGATATTTTATAGCATTTTCTGTTTCATAATTAATGTGACATATATAAATGTATAGTTTTAAGAGGGCAGTTTCAGAATGTGGTGAAATATTTACCCATGTTATTTTTTTAATAGCTGCTGTAGACAGTCTTAGGATTGGAACATCCAAATTAAAAGAATGTGGAAGAAGTGTTTTATTTAAGTATTGCCTGGGTGTGCATCAACAAAATACATTTTGGAATGAAGCATCGTTAAATTTCCAAAGAGTTATTGAAGATCATCTCATGGGTGCTTCTGTGGTCTCCACTAACTCCTACAGGATCAGATTTTATGCCCACTGAACACCTGAATCATAATACTTCTACATTTCAGTTGCATTTCTCAAGAGGAAGGAAGTTCTATCAGTGAAGAATTGGATGTACTCACTTGGTACAAATATATGTCTTCATTATGCAAATAAATTGATTTTATGTCTACAAAAAGAATTAAGTTCATATTTTGGAGATACATCTTTCCATGAAGAGTTTGTAGGTTCTAGAAAGACAGCTTACGCCATACTTTTCAGTGGAACTCTGTAAACATCAGATGTAGTGTATCAGTTGTAACAGAAATGGAGAAGAAAGGTAACTGATTCTGAGGTTTTTGGCCATCAACAGTATTGTTTGGGCCCATTCTACTTCATCACCATTCTACCAGAATTCAAATTCAAATTAATGTGCGGGACATGAATTTCAAGAAACCTTCCAAATGATCATGCTATTAAAAGGATGAATAAAAGTCACTGCTTTTGAGACCATATGCCTGTTTCCAGAAAAAGTTCTGATGGAAATCGGTGAAATTAGTAACCTCAATTAAAGCTCATTTAAGGAACTTCATCAACATTATGTAACTTAAAGGTTTATACATGTGTGGATAAGACCTTAGGTGAACAGAAAAATCTGTTTGTCTTTATTGTGTTTTAGTTGTTGATGTGGCTGCCTTGTTTTATATCTACATCAGCTGAAGAGTGTGCACTGTTAAAAATGTATCTGGATCAGTGTATGAAGGAATTCATTTTATGGTATTTTAATTGAGAAAACTCTAGAACTACAGATTACAAAGCTCTTCATTAAATTGAAATGGTTGAGCATTTGTGCTTGAATATCACCAGTATAATGTTTTTGGCAAATTATGTGTATACTTAAAGAAGTGCAATGTTTTAAAAGGAATGGTAAGAAAACAGAAGCGTGACCTATAAAGAGGATGTGCTTTAATGGCATGACAGTTTCTGACTTTATAAGTACATGTCCATCTGGTTGCAAGATTTAAAGAAATGAAGAAGTCATGCTTATGCTGAGAAGGAGAAACTTTGTTTAGAAAATGCAAACTGGAAGTGCAGTATTTCCTTAAATAAAAGAATTTTCAAGGATGGGATTTTAAATTGCATCTGGTCACCATGTACAAGCTTTCACTTGTAGGAAGTTCAAATACTGAACAAGAGTTTTTAAATCTTAATTATGGTTATTCCTATTTTTTGTGAGACGATAAAGTCTTGGAATGATGGCATTGATACACCTAACTATTTCCAGAGAAAAACTTGTTGGCAGTGTGCAGTATTATAAGATAATTTGTCAGAGGTTTTATCAGTCGGAATCCTACACCAATTTGTCATATATGAGGTTTTATCGGTTGGAATCCTACACCTGCAAGCGGTATACCAGCAGCAGAAGATTGTGTTTCCCCCCTCCTTTGTGGTGTACAGAAGAGCCTGCTTGGTGTAATGTGGTCCTGTCTTCCCGCAGAAATGACAGCAGATGAACGTGAATACACCCACGTGATCCGAGATGCTCATGCTTCCCATGGTCGCTATGAATCTGATGTCACACATTCAGCCTCCAGTGGAAGGAAGACATCTTGGGAACGCGTAACAAATAATAACCTCCACAGCATCAATAAAAGTTGGTACCTTCATGACAAGTTACAGTTCTGGCAGCCAGGGCATGCCAACAGCAGCATTTGCTAGGATTGTTTTATGTTCTGCTGAGAGACAGTCTTGCAATACAGGTTTCAAGTTGCGTGCTAATGCATTTTGTATTGCCAGGTTCTTGCAGAAGACTCTGATAGAAGTCCATTGTGGGTGTGATGGTTGCTAACAGTGAAGTTATCTATACAGTTATACTTTCACTCTCCTCCTGGTTCTAAGATGTATATTCTGAATTTCTTATGATCATAGTGACCACATACTGCTGTGAAGCAAATACGTCTTCTATAAAAGATCCATAATGTTATTACTGAAAACATCTGTGTTAATGTGTGATAGAATAGCAGCTGAAATATATGTTTATTGATGTATTTTAAATCAAGCATTGGCATGTAACTAGACCTTTGTCTCTAAGTTTCAAAGAAAAAATTACAATTATTTCCTGGGCAGATGCTGCTATAAAGGCACAAAAGATAGATTTGAAACTATTTTATTTTATATTTATTACATTGGTGCTGCCCTGGATACAACAAGCTGCAAGGTGAGAAATTTACTCTTAAGTGGGTCAACAGAATATTCATTCAAGGAAGGACCTGCTGCTTTGGACGCAGAAACATTTCTGTAAAACTGTTGAGATACTGTATGGACTTACTTGAACTTTGAAAGTTTACTTTTACAACAGCACACTGCCAACACTACACAAAAATAAAATTTATCCCATCTGTGATTAACGAATAATGCAGTGTTACATAAGCAAATGGAAAGGATACAGCAGTGGTCTCAGTTTGGAAAAGAAGAGCATTATGACAAAAAAATGTACTGACTTTTTCAAGCTGTTATAATGAATTGATATTGTTTTTAAAACTGCTTGTGTCTTGTTTGAAATATTTACATGGAAATCAAGATATGCCGTAGTGACAACAAGGAGAATGTGATTCATTATGTATTAAATTAAGTGGTAAAAACAAAAAATGGAGCTTTGCCACCTTAGTTTCCATTGTGGTAATTATGAAGGGATTTATTTTATTAGAAGAACTGGAAGAGGAGTAGTTAAAATGTGTATTTGAATCACAAAATGTGCCACTACATCCATGGAATTTATATTACTGCAATCAGCTTGAGAACATAATGGAGATTGGATTGATTTAATTAGGAATTAATTATTGTAACTTCCTACAGGAATAAGGATTCAAGCATTGAAATGTTACAATATGTTTGTATTGTAATGTTTATTGGCAGCATTTTTAAAGCTTCAGTGATTGATTGTGAACTGTAATGTGGAAAGCACAAGATTGTGATTATACACATTAAGGCTTCAGCATTATCAATGTCCAAATAGTGTCGGGAAGAATCAAAAAGTGAAAGTGGAGGCAAATTTATAAAAGATTTTTATATAAATACAGTGCCTTCTGGAAAAGAGTAATGTGGATTATATATGTGGGCCTCTGGAAAAGTGCATAAAAAATTAATAAAATCATTGTGCACTAGCATGCAAATAATGTTACATTTTTGCAGGAGTTCTAAAGTATGTAAAAGGACAGTGTTGCAAGATCATGAAGTGAAAAACTAAGTAACTGAATATTGAAAGAGCTTATTTGAAGATTATTAATTAGCATTTGAAGAAGGTTTTACAAAAATAAAAAGGGCAGTATCTGGTTTAGATCACAGTTTTCTAACTTAACTGAGTGGTTACGTGCTCAGTCATAATTGTAGTAGACTGGTTTGTAAATAGCTGATCCTAAAGCTAAGCAAAAGGATTTTGTGCTTCCAGAAGAATTGCTGCTCCTTTGGGATTAATAGCATATTTTGTCTTGCATGGCAGTGGATGAAAGGAAAAACCATGAATGATTATGGCCTTGCACTTAATTCTGGAATCATCACAGATCCTTTTCACAAAAAGTAAAACTATTGTAATGGTATAAAGGGTTCTTTGTAGAGTAATAGTGAACAAATTAGGTTCATGTGTCTTGGCAGAATTGTAATATACAGTTTTCTGTATATTATTTTTTGTGGAATAAAGAAACTTGCAGTTTTGAAGAAGTATATAAGAAGAGCAACATGAAGACATGTATTTTTAGAAATGCCATATCTGCATCATTGTAGCTGTGACCTGACCTTGAATGAAGGAACTTGAAGCAATATGTAAGAAATAGCACCATAAAGATATGTATTTTAAGTATTTTATTGGCATCGTCTTAAGAGTGACCAAGAGTCAGTCATGAATGCAGTAACCTGAAGTTTAGTTATATGAAGTAACATATAAGAAGTAGCACCATGAAGACATTCAAATGTTTTCATTTATGTTTTGCCAACATTGTTACAACAGTGACCTATTGGAGTGAGTCAGTGGATGAAGAAACTTGGAGTTTAGTAACATGAAGCAATATATAAGAAATAGCACCATGAAGACATCCACACATTTTCATTCTTTTATCAGCCTCATAGGAACAGCGACCTAGGAAAGTCATTTGGTGAATGAAGGGACTTGAAGATTATTAACATTAAGTAGCGTACAAGAAATAGCACCATGAAGACACATATGTTTTCACTTAAATTTCAGACCAATTATTCGCTTAGTTACATCAGCAGGTAATGGATTGCAACAAATAATTTGGAGATCTCACCTCTCTTCGAAGCATGAAAACAGTCAAGCATTTGTATTCCCCTAAACTGGGTTGCAGATTGTGTTCTTTCCAACACATCTAATGATATTGAAGATTGTGTTTTGCAGAATATTGCAAGTTATAAAGATATTTATAATTATATCACTGATTTGTGATTAACTTTGCATTTTTCTGTAAAGAAAATAAGGCTACTGTATTTCATTGGAACACTGATTGTCTTCAGTCTTGCACAGCCTGTCAGTTTTAACCTCCTGGAACATAATTTAATTGAAATAGTGGTCCATCTGTGCTTGTACTGGCAGTATTCAAAACCCACATCTCCAAACAAAGTATGTCAGCTCATTACATTGCTATTGTTGGAACTGACCAGTATAATCTTCAGATTTTAACTTCCTTTCAAGGCCCTGCCCTTATTATTCAAGAGTTGTCAAGTGCATGGAACAAGGTGTGACTGCTGTACATAAAAATGTTTAAGGAAACTAGTAGACAGCATGGGACTTCCTGTGAAATTAAGCATCTTGAAGAAAAGTAAAACTGGTTTTTTGTACCGAATGTTAATATGTGGTTTTGATATACATTAATGGAACAAGTATAGCATTATATAAAGATGTTTCCATCATGAAATTATTTGTACTGACTTCATTGTGACCTTACCAACAGATCAAGCCAGTCAGTTTTAATCTAATAAGGAAGAAGTTACAGGTATGTAAGGGGTCAACAAAATGGAATAAGAGTGTCTTTATGGATCTGAATGCTGAAATAAAGGATATTATGTTCCTTGAAACAGAAGAAAAACTTAATTAAAACTAAGAATGGACAGTAGTCTACAGAGTTGTACGTTACCAGAAACAGTTTTCTTGTAAATGGTACGTATTGTGACACCATCTGAATGTAAAGCTGTTGGAAGATGGAGGAAGTCTGGGTTTGTTTTTCTTTCCCAATGAAGTAAAGCCATTTTTACATGAATGTATGACAGTTAAAATGGATTTGATGTTGAGTTTTGTTCTGAAGATACTCAAAACATGTTTTTATATTGTGGTGTGATGGTGTGACATTATAGCTGTGTGTTACACTGCAGTTGGTGTTTATTTCTGGAGAAAGTTTCAATCCTACATCAGTATTTTATGTGATTACTTACAATTGTGCAGTGTTCAAAATTATAATAAGTAGCTGGAGGTATTCAGGTAGGTGTTTCAGACAGGTATGAATTCTGGTGCTTTCCATGTGTTCTTTTGTTTGGTATTGGAGAACTACAATTATCAAGGAGACATTTCAGAACCCAGACATGTAGCAATATTGTAACTGCTGTGTTTAATCACAAAAATGTCAGAAGCACAATTGAATAATATGTAGTGATTGATTTGATCAGGAGTAGTATGATGAATGTTGAATTGTCATGTGAAATATTCATAGTTGGAGATCAAGGACGTGGAAGAATGTTGAAAAGTGTTGGTCTTAACTGTAAGACACAGAGCTGGGTGCTGTGAGACTCATCTTGAACTTCAAAGAAATTCTTGCACATCTGTTTAGTACCTAAGTTAGGACCATAAGTTACAGGCATTGAGTTATTCATTAAAATTCATCATCAGCTAATAAAATGTCCAGCTTGTATGACCTTATTTGAAATATCCAGACACTGTATGATTATTTCTTCTGCACATGAAATTCATTTTGTTTAGTGGTCTTTCCAGGTGAATGGGGCAGATTGTTGAAAGAGAGGCGACACTACAGAAGAAAGTGTTTGTGTGCATTATGTCCATAAATATAAAATTCCTTCGTGTTCTGTCTGTTTTCCCAATAAGGACTTTGAAAACTTATATAACAGAGAAGTCTGGTTCTGAAGTTTAGCAGTGCAGATGCAGATAATTTGTTTGTACAGTTTTTAAGAGTCAAAGCTAATTTGTGTTTTTGTTAAATAACTTGTTTAGTAACCCTTTATTTTCTTTCTTTTGTGTGGGGAGGGGGGTACAAGTACATTAACTGCATACTAATCTAGGGCACTCCTCCTGTCCTCCATATGTATGTACATAAAGTACTTATAAATTTGTTTGGCAACTTCACAGATTTACAGCTCTTATTTCTTAAGGCAAGAATATGAAATGTGTACCACATAACAGAGTATATCCACTCCTTTATTTTGTGTGTGTGTGTGTGGTACTACAGCTGTACCATTGGTAGTCCAGTTGTGTCTGAATCTTGCTAAGAATTATTTGTGTAATACAAATCTGTAATTCTAGTCCAACAACTGTTCTGTGTGGTGGTCTTAGTAACCTTGCCATTGGGCCAACTCTTTGCTAGGATAATGAGTAGTGTAAGGATTTTTACTACTACAGACCAGCATGCCTGCAAATGTCACGTGCGCACACAGTAACTTGGGGATATATTGCACAGGATTTACATTTTTAGTTTTTGCTGTAGCTACATAAAACTGTTTAATAGTACATGTGCACATGGGCAGATTTGTGTGCAGTTCTTGATACAGTATTATAGCAGTTCCATTTTCTTTTCACTGAATAGTTAAACTTAGAACTGCATGTCTTATCAGAATAACATGCCACATTATCCTAGAAGACAGTTAAGTAAAACAGTATCTTGTGGGACCACATACTTTCTCTGGGGCTGGGGGACAGTTTCCTGGCAGTCTACTTAACTTTCTTTTGTCTTTGCACATGTGTCAGTGCCATATTTCATCAAAATAATTTTTCCTTCATCTGGTATTCTTCATCTCTGTTATATACCTCTTCATTGTATGACTAAAATCGTATATTATTCTCTGCTCTGTCATTATGTATCGTCTGCATATCTACAAGTTTCCTTTTCAAGTAAATGAAACAGTATGCCTTCTGTATGTTGTAATTTCTTTCATTTAATCAGTATCCTGAGTCCGTTTGAACATGAAGTGTGTAACAAGTTGATTTCTGGTATACTATGTTGCATTTATTGTGAATATTCTTACATTTCATAAATAGGCAGAGATGAATTAAAAGAAGTGGAACTGAGGCACCAGAATCAATGCAGGGTGGGGGGAATCTTTTGATTTGTTTTCATTGTTAATGCAAAGAATTTACTGAATGCTGTGTCTTCATAACTTAATTTCTGAGAATGGTTGCACCTCTTCTTCAGAAGAGTCGGTTGTTCCTCCTGACACAACTCTTCAATGTGAAACTGTAACATCCTGAAGTGTACCACAATCTTCTGCTTTTCATGTAGGACATCTTTTCTCATAGCTGTCATACATGAATGCTGGTTTTAGTGTGTGTGTCTCATACATGTGGCATTTTGACGTGGAGCAGTAAATGTAATTACATAGCCTTGTTTTGTTAAGCTAAAAATTATTTTGTATTTCTTTGCGTTGTGCCTCTGACAGTTTTTGTGATCTTACAGCAGCCACACAATTGATATCCCTTGTTAATCTGTTATTATCTTGTTCTAATGTTAATTAAATATTAACTTGGGTTTCAGGAATTCTTGTGAGTTGCATAATTTATGTATAGTTCCTAATACCAAACAACACTCAGTTCCATTAATGATCATATCTTTATTTTCTGGAACAAGGTAAGGTAGCAGTTGTTTTTGTTATTGGCATTTGTGGTGTCATAAAACATTTCAAAGAAATAGGAATCACAGCTGGTTCACCAGATTTTAGCATTGGTTGTGTAGCGTGCTAAAACCTTATATCCTTGTTTACTACCATGGTTACACAGACAGTTGGAGAATTTAGATGTTGAACTTTGATTCATATTCCATACGGTTGTGTCACTTAATAAACTTCAATAGTAGATGAACCATCAGATACATTTTATTAAGAAGGTTTTTGGTTAAAAGGGGTCCTGAGAATGGTCTGTAAGGATTATAACATGTTGGGAATTAGCTAGTAACATAAAATCTAGCCAACCCTTTGAAACTGAAGCTCATTTAAATAGTATTTAGGAATTCAGTTTGTACTTTTCTTGATGCTTTTTAAGAAAATAATCACTGTTTATTCTGAAAATTGTATGAAACCCATAAGTACACTCTAGTCAAACTAAGGCAGTAGGAAATGTTAAGGAAAATGGTACATATAATTACCACTGATTTTAAAGGGATAATAAAATGTTTCTGATGTTTCATTTTAGTATTGTCTTCAAATCAGTCAGGCAGAACACCTGACAGACTGAACTCTTCAGTTACTGGATGGATATTTTTTCATGCTTTTGTTTGAAACTTAATAAAAATGTAATTGTTTAGAGACAACATCCTGCTAAAACATATACTCTTTCATGAAACTATTATGAACAAATGCAGGACAATACCTCTGTCTCATGTTAATAATGCACCATTGAGGTACTTTGTTTTGTCGTGAATCTTTCCCGCTATAAGATGATCATAATTTTCATGTTCTGGGTGTTTCCATTTCTCAGGTTGTTTGTGGCTTCTCTGTTTCTTCCAAATACTTTTTTCCTGCCATAATGTTATTCTTTATAGATATTTGTTTATAGTTTATTTAACAATGCTTCCTGTATCTCAGTCTATATAGCATTGAATGAGAGGATGATAGTGAATAATGAATTGGGAAAGAAGTGGTCATGGCCTAATTGAAGGTACTCTCTCAGTATTTGCGGAGAGGGATTGAGGAAAACCACAAAAACATTAGTCGGGGTAGCTGATATTATTTCTACTCAAATGTGATTTACTCAAGTTGGTGCAGTGATTATTTGCCATTTCTTATTCACATTTTGTGTGCTAAAGTGTGTAAATTTCTGTTAATTTGATTCTAATATAAAAGTGTTATCTTTCCCTTAAATATATCTTTCATTTTACTTATATGACTGCTTTTGAATATTAAGAATGCAAGAGGTTGATGAAGCTTTCAGAAAATACACCGTAGTCATGCCATGCAATCTGAGATTTAATGCATTTCATGGTGACTAGACAAGTGGCAAATATTAATTGTTCTGGATCTGACTTTCAGTAAATACCTCTACTTTCACTGGGGGAAGCATTTAAAAATGTTTTACATGTATTAACTATAAGAAGTTTCAAACAAAATGCCTGCAGAAATATACAACACTGACTCTCCATCCTGTAAGTAGTCTTCACTAGAAGCTGTTGTAGGAGGGTTTTCATGAACCTGTGATTCTGTATGTTTTGATGAAAAACTGTAACTTCCACTCACTGAATAATGACATACTTCTAAGCATCAAGAAGCTGCATCTTTATTTTTTGATGTAATTTGATAATTTCATATGGCAGTTTTGAAATATATTTGAATCAGTTTGCAGTTTTGGGAGAATAATCTGTGTATATACTGCTGTCACTACATCACCACTTTTTTGTGTTTAAGTATTGCAAGTACAGTAATTTTTTTGTTAGATGCACTTGATTTGAACTCTTACAAGAAGGAAGGAAGATATTGCTTAATTTACAGTTACTTTTTGGGTTCATATGGGAATAAGTCTAATTTTAACTGACTTTATATTGAATAAAGACACTTATTTCAAAAATGTTTTGAGGCTTAATGGTAGTAGGTGACACCTGTTACTGGCGTAGCTGTTGTTACAGCAATTTTGGTTGAGAATCTTGTTTTCCCAACCTAACGTGTATTTTAATACATTATTAGGAGAGGGGTCACATCCAATATTTGCCCGTGAAGAGATTGTACAGGCATCTGCTAGGGCAGGTAGTGGTCCTATTGATGAGCACCATAGAGTGGTAGCCATTGTGGACGAAGCAGCTCCAATACAGTCTCAAGGTATTTACGAGATGCAGACTGGAGGAACATTATTACTGTCTTCGTCTGTCACTTCATATGTGTGTCCTTTATTTGCCCTAACTTGATGTGTTATTTTGAAGACTGGCTTACTGTGTTACAGGAATGAAAATAATATTAAATTTTTATCTCATTTCAATGTGTGCTGTGTGTTCAAATTAATATTTAGAACTGGTGCATGTGTAACAGTTATTGATAGTGGAACTGATATTTATTTGAACTGCAGATCTAACTGTATCCTTGATATCTTCAGTTGTATTAATCGCATTGATTTTAGAAGGTATTTAGTTTGAAGCTAAACCTGTATGATCTCTTGCAGTGATGTACCCTAGTGAAGATAGAAATTATTCCGGTATTACAGGAAATTCTCGATTTGAGTCCCTGGTTCGTTATGCAAATGCTCCACCACGATCACATGATAGTTATTACCCTAGTGGAGAGTGGGAACCACCACGTGACTACCCGCACTCCTCACGAGATTATGATCGTGGTCATGGACCAGCCCCTGACTTTGAGCATAGGGATAGGAGTCGGGAGGATCGCTTTGACAGGTAAGAATCTGTATGTGGCTTGGCATTTTGGATATTTTGTAGTGCTTATGTCTGTATTTGTACAAGGAATTAGGATGACATCGTATCTCACTATTGACATTTCAGCTGTAGCCGATTTTAAGCCATCTGTTCGGAACTGAAAAGTCACATCGATTAAATTCACTGATTATGTTTCCATAAGAAGATTGTCCATTTGTGTTTGTTAAGTGTAGTAACTTTGTTGTCTTGTGATTTTTTCCCCCACACCATAAAGTGTTCTTAATTTTTATATATAAAATTTATTGTTATACCTTTAATTATTTTTCCTCCTTCCTTTTGGATTTGGTATTTAACACTGTGAGTAGAGATTTGCAGTGTGTCGTTATGATTGGCATTTTTAAAGATTATGCATGTATGTACAGGCGAAGTGAAGATCTTCGGCATGAACTGGAACAACGTCGCCGCGATGACAGTCGGTACTCGGGTCAGGGAGATAATCGCCACTATGATAGGAGCACAGACTATAGGGGTGACTCAGATAGGTGAGATACTGTCATCTTGAGACAGCAGAAACTTGAAGGGTTTTTGTAACTATGCCAAGAATTTGGCTATAGTAGAATCCTCTGAAGAAGCACATTGAAAGAAAACACTTGTAATGTGATGAGGTGAAAGCCAAGGCCAAGGTATTCCTGTAGGTGCAAAAGCTTGGACCCTGACGTTTCCACAGGAATTTAGCAGATGTTGTATTGCAGAGAAAATTGTCTTTATTGCTTTCATCACCATGTGGAGAAACAGCATGTTTGTCCCTTAACTACAGATTGTCTTTGTTGAAATCAGATGCTGATTTTCAGGTAGAATGTTACTATAATATTATTGTTGCTAATCATTGCTTAAGGTGTTGGCTCATCTTTGATTTGCATCATCACTTTCCAGTAGTACTTTTTATTAATGGTTTGTGATCATGTAGTAGATGATGCCATGTGTTATTGAATTTGGTTCCAGACGCAGTGCAAGGTAAGGATGGATGTATGGATAGATGGATAATAGATAGATAGGTAGGTTGGCCAGTTGTGTCCAGTGTATATTCTGAAGCATACTACCACATTTTCCTTGAAAAGCCTGGGATTGGTTTTCTTTTGTTTCATTGTAATTTTCTGTTTTGTACTCTGCTGTTGTTTTTATTGTATGAAATCTACTTGTTTGTTTATTACTTATACTCTGCTGTGAATGTATTCATTGAATTGTTGTTTCTTTCTGGAGACTTCAAAATATGTTTATAGCCTTGTTGATATTTATTGTCCATTTCATTGATTTATGTGCATTTACTGCAGTAAATTGAGTATCCTATTCTTGAATACTCTCAAGAAGAGTATATTTGATTACTTGAAAAGAAGAGGAAGTATATAGCAACAGATAAAATTTATTTTTAAAATGTAATAGGGTGTCCAGTGACCTCCGGACGCGAATTAATGAAAAAAGGACTGATCGTCATGATGATAGAGACCATGCCCGCATAAT